CAATAACCAAGCCAGAATATTCCGTCCGGATCATTCATGTTAGCTGATTTTTGACAATCAATGAAATTCAGTTGATTAAAAGCATTGGTAATTTTATCTGATGAATTATTATCTTTTGCATTTGACATTTCAGGCGCAAGAAATCATACTACGTGAGAAGAATTGACTTCGTTGAAATGGTTGAATATAGTTACATAAGTATTGTTTCATGTAGTACACAAGTCTATCCGTGCCTTTTTGGCACGTGTTAAAAATAAAGTAATACGCAGTATGGTATGGAATTTAAAAAAGAAATTTGATTTCATCATACTAGGACATATGCTAGCAGATGTGTAACTATTAATTATCGATAGTTACTATGTAAGCACTGAAATCATGTGACAAATTCGGTCTCATTATTTTGGCGTCACTCTATTCAGTTATGTAATGATTTTATTTTACCATATGGGGTCTTTGCCTTGAAAATAACCTTACACGTAGGGTCATTTTCAAGGCAAAGACCCCATATTTGCGTATAATAATAATACCCCGCGCTTTATTTTGGGGTCTCTGCGCGATATTTTGGCGTCTGCATGCGTCTTATTTTGAGCAAGGATACGATTTTTTTTTTCAAAATCTCGTAACACATGGGGTGCTATTATAATAACTAAATTAGCAACAGAGTTTTAACCTCAACCTTTAGAAATCACATTTTGTCTCTCATCGGGGTGCTACAAATGAACTATGTTCCGTTTTCGTGATAAACCTACGTAACAGTCAGAATTTAAGAGTATCGAAAAAAAAAACAGAATTTGTCTGGAAAACCCCACTGATACCATGTAAACCAAAAACTAGGCTAGCTTTATGTACTCAAATACGAGAAAATTCCTTCGTGAGTGTCCACTTCAAAAGCTAAATTATAACCGTCGCCGTCCCAACAGGTCATCAAATTAAGCAGGCTAGCAAAGGCAAAATTCTGATTAGTACTCTGCGGGTACTTTGTCAGGTGGTGGGTTTTTTATGTGGAAGAGTTTATAAGGAGAATACTTTAAATGCAATTGGGTTTAATAGAATTAGGGTTGGCTTGGTCGTCCGGCCCGTCCCGGTCTCTAACAAGACCGGTTCCAATAGTATCTATCGGTCCTATTCGGTCGGTCCCTGATCCCAAAAATAAACTACTTTCACGTAAGTAGTTTATCATTTTTAGTTATAGTTAACAAAATAAAATTCGTGCAATAATGGTTTTAACTATTTCAAAGTTTATTTAAAAGTTTATTTTAATAGTTTTTATTAACTAGTCTAAACTTGTTAAAAGACTGAAAACCGAAGACCATGTAGCCGGTCTTCTCAGAACCGAACCAACCCTAGCACTATATAAATTGCGTTTTAGATATACCTGGGTTTTATAATCATGTTTTCGATTAATCCCGGGCACTAACAAGGAGTACTATTTGCCGAAAATTACGGTAATAAATCACGAAACGAAAGCATACGATAAAATACGACATTGCATCAACCGATCAGATACTTTCATATCGGGGCAGCCAATTAAGTTACACAAAGGTAGTGCGCGTTATTTCGGGACGCGCATGGATTATTGGGACTTTTGAAAAAATTGTCGCGAATCATAATGACTCCCTAAACCCCAGTTATACTTATTTTATTTTAAATTCTACCTTTAAACCTCAATCCTAATCCTAAAAAAAAAATGCTAAAAAAATGCACTAAAAAATTTGTATTTTCGGTTGCTTGTCTACTTGACACTATCACTCATAGTGCTACAAATCGAAAATCGAAAATCGCAACTAATCGAAAAGTTGACAACTAATCGATTGAAAATTTTTTGGCAACTCATATTAAAATCGAATAAAAATCAAACAAAAATCGAATGAAAATCGAATAATCGAAAAGTTGACAACTAATCGATTGCAAAATTTTTGACAATTTGTAGCACTAAATCACTCATTTCATTTTAGTCTGATTTCATTTTAATTCGTCACAAGACACATAAGTAGTTGAATTAATAAAAATTTACGATCTATTATAGATTTTTTTGTTAATTTCTCTTTTTTTACAGCATTCGGCCCATATGGTATCTTCAATATGGTACATATGATATCCTAATTTTCAATATAACATATACAATATCTTAAACATTACATGTTTCCAATATGTCTTCCAGTAACATTTCTTTAGAAACTGATCTTGGCCATCCAATATTTAAGCTAATAAAGATTATTAGTTTAACTAGCTTGGACCATCATGGCCTTTTTTTTTTTTTTTTACTTGTAAGGCTTTTTTTTTTAGCAATATATATATCTAGTATATATAGTTGTTATTCTTACTTAATGGCTTCCTCAATTTATTATTTTTTTCATATAAATTTAGTCTTCGGATAATAAGTATAATTATAAATTTGAATTTTCAATTCCTACTGTATATTTTCAATGATTTCATTTCCATTAGCTTAGCTTTTTTAGATCGGTTTACCTAAACGAGTGTACGCACCAACGGCATTTTTCTATAAGCACAAAACAAGTTTATATACTAAAAGTATTAAGGCAGCGTTATATTTTGATGTCAATCCTTTTTTCAAACGCCCCTTCAGCATAGTTAAAATACATCTTATTGATTGTTATTCCTCGTAATTTTAAAATAATTTATCACTTGATATAATCACTAAAGATTTATTTAGGATTTAGCATTTTAAATTCATAAGTATTTACTCTTATTATGCAATTCAAATTTTGCTCTGGGCTTTAGGCAGTGTCACCATTAAATTGGTCTGGTGAAAATTGCAGTAAATAGCCACTGGATGATAATCTTGCAAGTATAGATTTCACGTTGGTAAATGGCCTAAGTCGTACCATTTTATATGAGCTTGGTCATATAATTGTGGCTTTATTCGAGACTTTTGGCCATATTAAATGCTAATAAAAAAAAAAAAAAAAAAAAATCTTTTCTTACTATGATTCATACTAATATTAAAGGTCATATCTACCCTCGTTATGGTCCAATGGCTTATGACAGATCTTAAAGGTCATGTAAATCATTAAAAGTTATCGGACAACACTACAGTAAAGGCCAAGATCACAGAGATTCAATAACAACGCGCAACGTTATTACAGAGTAGATCATTAAGGCAGGACTGAACGTTAGTGTTTCTTTAAAGTGTGCAATTTGAACGGTTCTACCCTGAAATCCCGAAAGCCATTTTCCCGAAAGGAAATAATACTGACTAAATTGGCCAGCATTATAACTAATGCTGGCCAACTTTGTCGGGATTTTAAAACTGGGGTAAAATCGCCACCCAAAAAAATTTCACTGGCCAATCGAATTTCAAGATCATGTGTAACGTAGCACGATCAGGAAAATTCAAAACAACGTTCGTTTTGTCAAAAATCGCCTATAACTCAAAAATGAGTCTATGAAAGAGCCTTCTGCGCATTAGTAAAAAATTTTCCTTGCAAAATTTTGATATAATAAAGCACTCTAAACCCTAACCTAGAAGCAACACCCTAACCCTAATCTAACAAACCAAAATTTTATTTTTGAAATTTTTTTGGGTGACGATTCTATTCTAATTAATTTGAACATAATATTTTGAGCATCTTAGTAAAATTTTTTTTAGTTAGCACGATATCTCAATATTAGATATAATTTTATTAAAAAATATATCATATTGTCGACATGAACTTTTTTTTTCACTTCTCGGAGGATTTCTGATTTTTGCGTTCATTAATAATCTCTCCGAAATTTTCCGTTAATGATATTACGCTTTTACATTAGCATATAAGATCCATAATACTAAGCTCTTCAATATAATTTTAGATATAACCTGTTTATTGATATTCATTTTAAAATGTAACCTTCGTGTCCAATATCTAGTTTCCAAATATAACGATAATCTCCAAAATTTCTAATATGACCTCATATATATTATTCAAGGTCCTGGCAGGATTTCAACCTGTTGCGGTTTTTTTCATGGGAATTTTTATCATTTATATGCAAATTGTATCGGTATACAGTAACTATCAATTACTGGTCTTAAACATAGTTTATATTAAAATAAATCAACATTTTATATTTTTCAATTATATATATTATATATACCTCAGTTTTTATGAAATGACTCTATATCGATATCAATTATACAGTATCAGTGTCTGGTTTATAATACTGTAATGTACAATTTTGCCTGTAAATTAAACCATATTTTTAGTACCCATAAAAAAAATACAATTGCGGTATCACTAGTGCTATTTTTAAATGCTAGATATAATTCTGTAATTAGGCATTGTCTATTTATATTTTTTACCTATATAGTCTGGGCCAATGCACCCTTACACAGATATGCACATTCAATACTACTTATCACACATGTATCTAACTTTTTATTTACAATAATTTGCTATCATAAACTAAAGGTGTAGGTATCAATATTAAACCATTAAATATAACTCTCGCCATAATGAATTCTCGATATAGTGAAGTTTGAATTATTATTAAATTTTCATTCGACATAATGAAGTGCATAGTGAAGATTTTTTTCTCAACCTACCAACTTCATTATAATATAACAAGAGTGAACCGTATCCTTCTTACAATTTCAAAATGTTACATAGAATGTAGTCACATTAAATTTGAATAATGCCAAGACTTTGGGCTTTTCAATTTTATTTACCGCAATAACATTCATCCGATAATTGGATTGGTCAATAAAACATGTGACATTTGTTTGAGATTTCGAAATAATAGGCTCGGATATCCCATAGTGTATACATATATTTATTGTTATGGTTTTTTTTTTTTCTTACATACGCACGTACGTTCGTACAAAGAACAAATGTTTGGATACAGAAATAATTCGTCTGTGTACACATTTTTTGACAAAAACAGTATAATTAATTACATATTTAAATAATATTTTCCAATAACGATAAGAAAATTTTTTGTTTATAAGAAATTGAATATTCCCAAGCAGCCAAAAGGACATATACATATGAAACAAACATAATCATATGCCATCTTTGGTGGGACAAGAATTGATCGTAACGCAATTAGGCGAACAACATCGTATTTCCGTTTCTCATTGTCAAAACAATTGTGCCACCGGAGACTCATCAGATAACAATGCCACAATAGCCCTAGGAGAAAGTTGTTAATTAAATTTATAATCATTATTTACTCTTTAGGAAAATTTTACAACGAAGATTCTTCTGTTTTTAGACTTGTATTGATACTCCACGTATTTGCCCTATATAATAAATTTTTTTTTTTTCAATTGGTCAATGATCATCTGCTACTCTCTTCGAAATCTGTAGCGCATGTTAATTTGTTAGTTTCTTTGGAAATTCTTTAAATGCTATAATTTTAATTTTAAAAAATTAACTTACAGTGATTACTAATTTTATTAGAGAAGTCATGCCAAAACCTACATCATCTACTATAAAGTCAAATTCCTTTACGTCTCCACGGAGAAGACAAAGTGCTAAAAAGCAGTCACCTCTGGATTCCCCGACACACGGTAACCAGTGAGCCGGAGTGTTTAAACATCCATAGTCGATTGGCCTTATAAAAAAAACTGTTGCTCAAGTTTTAGTATTACACCTCTTACTTTGTAGACACCGCCAGTGTTGCAACTAGTTCATGTCGTTACGATAGCTCGCTTGGTCTTCTCACAAGAAAATTTGTTAGTCTCTTAAAAGAAGCAAAAGATGGTGATTTAGACTTGAACACAGCAGCCAATTCATTGCAAGTACAAAAGCGTAGAATATACGATATTACCAATGTTTTAGAAGGAATTGGATTAATTGAGAAAAATTCAAAAAATCATGTTCGTTGGAAGTGAGTATGTGAATTTGTTCAAAGAATGTACATTACCTTTATAATATCTGATATAACATATAAATAATTTTTTTAATATTTACTATTACTCATCCATTTCATAGAGGTGTACAACATCTGCCATTGACATCTTCATTATGCCAGGACTATAAACAAAAGATAAGAGAACTTCAAGCTGCCAATGCTACTCTTGAATCTGAAAAATTAGAACTTGAAAAAGCCGATCAAGATGTGGATAACTGTATTAGAAATATATATGAGTCTGAAGAGAGTGCAAGGTTTGAATAGAAACTTTTTTCCTCTATTATTTCCTATATTACTATGTGACTAAACATTATCCTGTCTCTTACTTTATTTATTTGGTCCTATAAAGTTTTGCATTTATATATCCATCAGAAATTGAACATATTGATGCTTTCCATGAAGATATTTTGATAGCAATAAAGTCACTTTCAGGGACACCTTTGCAGATATTTGAAACGGTTGAGGTAATGTTAGGTTCATGCACCATTTTCTAGAATTCATTAAAAAAATAGATAAAATAATAGAAGAGCGTTTTTTTTTTTTTCTTTTTAATAGAATGAACAAACAGGCCAGCCTCTTTATCAGGTTCATATACACGATCCAAATATTCAACAAGTTCATATTTTTCAACTCTCAGACGATAATCCAGGACACCACCACTTTGATATGACAAATAACCATTCCACACGTGCATTTACTCAACAAAGTCAGCCATTGAATATTCGAAATGGAGATCCTCTTCAACATAATATTTCCCATCCATCTCAATTTTCTCATATGTCTTTGATACCAACACCTACTGATGAGGATTATGATATGCTTGATGATAGTATGGATTATCATTTATATTATCAACGTCAACAGCAGATTCAACATCAAGATCATCGCCGCTTTAATCATCATCATCATCGTCTGCCACATAACCGTGATAGCGATGATTTTGAACCACTTGATCCATCATCTGATTATATTTTTGGCAATTTCAGGCATGACGGTCGCGAAGGGTTAGATATGTTCGAAAGAAATTCAAATCAAAGGATGAGGGAAGATGGTCATCGCCCATAATAACACTTTATTATTAGAGTTAGAAATTTTGCAAAAAAAAAAAAAAATTAAATTCTTTCAGATAAAACTAATTCTTGGTTAATATACAAAAAAAAAAAAAAAGTATATAGACTAATGTAACTCGCGAACATAGATACATAAAAGAAGTTGACTCTAAAACCCTTACCATAAAATTCAAATTAACAAAAATTTTCAATATTTGTTCGTAGTGTTTGTAGCATTAAAGAACAATAATGTAAGCACGAACACATTTCTGTATATTTTGAAACAAAGCATTTTCTTTTTCTCTCTCTCTCTGTTTTCTTTACGAAATTTTTAAAACTTCAAAAAAAATTCTATCGTAGTTAGCATAAAGGAATATAACTTGTGACTTCACGATTATTTAGAAAGTCATAGCACTAGATTAGACTATAAATATGTTTTTTTGCAGCTATATATTTTGTTTAAACGCGTTTTGTTTTTTTTTGTTACTGTATACTGCTTTATAATTGGTGTACATCTATTTCCTTTACTAAAACCTACTCATAATCGAGTACATTCAAAACTTACCAAATACACTTCGATAAATGTAAATGTACTAAGACCAAAGCTTATAGAACCTAGTTTCTATTAATTATAATTTCAATAATATATATGTGGGCTAGGTGCTGAGAAAAGGACGAATTTGACAAAAAATAAAACCTTTCTCGATTATCTAATTAATACGTAAAATTTATCATCGAGAAAATTAATTTTTAATAATTATTATTTTTTGAAAACTCGTCCTTTTTCTTAGCACTTAGACCATGTAGTAATGCAAACGTGCTTGTGCCGAACTGTGAGTCATTACTTTTCATAAATTTTGGGACATCAGGTAAAAAAAAAAAATTGACCGAATGATTATTTGGCCGATTCGATAAACTTGATTTGAGGTGTGATTATCGTTATATATATATTTTAATACAGCAATACGTAGTATTATGAATTACAATGCCAACATATATATTTGAATGCATGTCCAGTATGTGTGTTTGGTGTGTTTGGCCTGTACGAAAATTTATGACTAAGATTGTTCTTGCCAACAAACAGGTCTTAACACAAAACATAAAAAAAGGTTCCATAACAAATACATTATTGACTGGGTTAAAAAAAAAATTATAGCGCAAGTTATAATTCCAAACGATCAAGATTTTATAATAATTGTCGAACTGCAATGGGAATTTTAATCTGCAAAACCTATTATTTAAAAGTTTTAATATAAGTTATGATTATTATAAAAATAGACCAAAAAGAAAATTAGCATGAATCAGATGAAAATATTGAACCGGTAATTCTAACAATTAAGGAACGTCTAGCTTGTTCGTCTATCTGAAATAACTACTGTTGAATCTGAAATATCAACTAGTCTGAAGTAACAATTAGTGATAGGACTACGGATGCTAAAATTCAACTGTCAATTTATTAGATTCTTTATAGAATGAGTAAATCTATCCAACTTATCTGAAAAATATCATTTAGAAAGATATTACCATCCCAGTAATACCGACAAATTTTTATTGATTCGCAGTTTAGCACATCCGAAATATAATCTTTTTTGAAAGTTTTTTTTTTTTATTTTAATTCTGTATTTTTGTAAAAAAAAGATTTATTGAATTTGATTTAATGGTTATTAAGAAACATGCAATAAAAGTTTTTAAAAAAAAAATTTAAATATCTTAATAGAATTATTAATATCAAAATTAACTACTATCTTATTAAAAAAATTCTTAAAATATTTTAGATTAAAACAGTAATAAATGTCATCTTTCTTTAGTATTTCGTTTAAATTTTTTTGTCAATTTTACTTTCTCATCTTCTATTTCTTAATTTAAAAATTTTTGTCTTTCATTTTGTTGTTCAATGATTATTTGCTTTCTTTATTCTTTTTTATATAGATTTCTCTTGGAGGCCTTTGATAAATAATCAAATGGAGCAAAGCGAAACTTGGGATGAACTTCCTATAATAGGAGGCTAATCCTATGAAACCACGCAATTGCCACAAGTTCGCAGGGCGGGGAACCTACGGATCTTCTCTACCTTCCCGTCGTTAGGTCGGACTCCATCCTGACCGACGACAATGGGTGTATTTTGCAATGGCATAGTTATGATACAGGTAGTTCAGGTTACAATAAATAGGTTCTAATTTTTTCAAAATTTTTAATGCAACTTCTTTAAGCTGATCCTTATTTTATAACAGGATATAGATCTTTTTAACAAACCTCAAATTCTTTTTGTATCTCGTTCAATTTCCCACTCTTTACCCACGAGACCGTGAACGGTTGTTAGCATTGTGACTGGCCCATTGTCTTGCCAGAAAATAGCCAACGTACCATTTATATTTGTTTTTTAGTTGCTGAACCAACGGTCAGGCCTTTAATTAAGTTCTTTCAGGCATATGGATTCTCGACGATTAAGACCTTGATCTTTGGCTGCTTTTACGAATTGTCTTCGATATATCATGAAGGAGTTAGGAGCCTTAGACTTAGGCTTGGCAAAGTCTAGCAAGTCGCTAATATATCAAATGCGATATCAAACTAAACGCAGAGGTAAAAAATATGTTAGATTCGATATTTTGCAAAGCGCTCTCTAGATTATTAACCACATGGCAGTCAAAATAATACAAAGCCACATCCGGTACGGCTTGACTACACGAATGCGACTTTGTGAGGCATCATATTTTCTGCATAGAAACAAGTATGGTCTTCAATATAAACGCCCACCACGTCATTGAGAAAAATTCCTGTTGGCGGGCAAATAGGAAAATCTATATTTACCATACCCGCTTCCTTAGAATTGCATTACTCATCATTCTGTATATTAATGTGAAAAATTGTAGCTTACCTGTGGCATGATTTAAGTTTTTCACTGCATTTAGAACCCGTAGCAGTCGCTCCGCTCCATTCTCAATGTCCCTCAATCCATTCTTGCTAATTCACGGATTCTCCTCCAATCCTTTGATAAATAAGCGTGACTGCCATAATATGCACAGTTTTTAAATCAGACACTCAGTCCCTGTAAGAAATTTTATCCGAATACTTCCATTATTTATCCATATTTTTTGTGAAAACTCCGTGAATCTGCAACATGATCGACAAAATCTAGACAAGCCGAATAATCTCCATGATTTAAGGTTATAAATTTGGAATATAAAACACGGATCGACTTTTTTTATAGGGAAAAAAATAAATAAAATAAATAGGCATAATAAGAAATAATAAAAATATAATTAATTATTTTTATCTTTTCGAACCAATTAAAGCAGTAGCTTGAGACCATAAAATAGTAATATTTCTAATATTTGTTCATCATAAAAAATCCAAAATTAGCTGGCCTAAACGAAAATTCTAATATTTAATCGGGATTTTTTGTACTATAAACTTCATCTATAGGTAACGTACCACTCATTTCGGCCAAGAGAAAAGGTTTCGGCATTAAAGTATTATTTAGTAACCCCAGTTTACCTAAGGAATTATATTAACAACTACTCCACCAGGAAATGAAGAATAAGATAATAAAGGGTTGGATGAAATTCTACCAACGACAACGGTTGCCACATTATTAAATTCAACATGTTAAGCGATAAAAGCGCATGCAGGACCACATAAACCATTAGTCAACATAATGTAATCTTCAGGTTTCCAAGGAAGATGTGTAGTTAAATTTTAAATAAATTGTCTAATCACATTCAGATCAGAGTCATTTGCAACATGTTTATTGGAACAATTCCCATAACACCACCACGTGAATAAACATTGTTACTAAAGAAGTTGTCAGCACTTGTAAAATTAGCTTGAATTTTAATCAACATAATCGGTTACATCAAATATATCAAAAGTAGGATAAGTATTAGGGAATAAGAGTATATTGAAAATAAGATGACAATTAAATGTCCACCAACGTTGTCAGATAAATCAATGCAACCTTTAATAAATAAATATAAGTATATATATATATATGAATATACGAAAAGTGATATATTGTATATATAAAAGAATCGAATATAAAATATATATTATAAACTAAATTACTTCCGTTACTTTTATTATCGCTCTTTTCGATTTAGATGGATGAATTTTGCAGAATTTTTTTTTTTTTTGTCAATGAGTTCCGAATCCGTGAGTCTCATATATCAGTGTTGTTCACTGGAACGTTCCAGTGGGAATTACTGGAACTGGAAGATCACTGGACTTAACTGGATGGAATTGGAAGCATAATAGCTTCCAGTGATCGAATGTCA